AATATGCACTCTCTAGCTTGCTCCTACTCTCTACGTCGAAAGTCCACCGTCAACCATCTTCTCCGGAAGAAACATGTATCATCCTCTTCTATTAATCATGTTCTTCTCTGATATCTATTTCTACGAAACACTGGTCGGATCCTCAATCTTTAGGGGAACTAGGGCATTCATCTTGGGCCAGACTTAATGATGTGGTACGCGAGGACGTCAGTGACGTTGCCCCCCGGGAAGAGGCAGCGCAGGGCGACCCTGGCGGCAGGAACGACTCCAGGGCTGGGGCTTTCTCTGGTAATGTCCGGGGATGCGAACATTTCATTTTCTACCACTACGAATGTTTTTACTTGGACTGAAACTTTTTGGTCTGGTCTGAACTGGTCTGGTAAATGTCTGGTCTCTGTGTGTTTTATAACTATGGAAGTGAGGTCTGGTCAGAAGTGGTCTGATCTGGTCTGGTATGGAACTGAAAACATTCCAAGTAAAAACATCTTACATGACCTTGATATCCATTCTCTTGTCGCGCCGTATAAAGTCTTCATGGTGGAGTTCATCCCATGTGTCGCCGCCAAGGCATGAGGATGGTCCATGTGGATTCGGTGGATATCGAGTTGCGCTTCCAGCTCCACCCATTCTTTGTTCAGGTCTTCTTCCGCTACGAGGTGGTCCACACGCACTTCATGTGGAACTCCTATCGGCTCATAGTTGTCTATAGTTCGGTGCAAGGTGGCTGTTGCGTTCGTTTCTGCCCCGGAGAGTTGGGGTCACTCCGGAGGCATCCTGGTGGTAATATAATGGTCGATCTTTCCCTCACTATCACCGCGTATAGGGACGGACACCCAAGAGTTCGAAAGTGGACGAGTTATCGGGAGACATGCTCTCGCGAGTGCCACATAAGATCGAGGCAGCTTACCTAATTCTGGTATAATGCATACTTTGAAAATAATGTTCAACGATACAAAAATATAACAAAAGTTATATAGAGCTACTACAACCAGAAACTCAATAATTTATTATATAACTCATAAATCAAGTTTTTTTTTAATATTTAACTCATAAAAAATTAATGTCAAATTTTTATGTCTCAAATAACAGAATTTATAGGAAAAAAAAGCGGCATCATAATATTTTTAATATATATTCAAATAATTAATAATTTATATTATTAAAAATTATTTCGAAAGCGCATATTATTATTAATTAATGCAAATATAAATATAAAGTTATAGTAAAGGGAGAATTCTTCTCCCAATAATGTTTTGCGTCCCAAAAATGAAAAGATAATGCATTTATAAGTTATAATTTACAAAATCATTTTCTCTCATAAATGCGTCCACAAATTCATTCTCTACTTTATTATTCATCCTTAGGGATCACCAAGTACTAACCATGAGTCTCTGTATTGACATTCTTTTATACTATTTTTCTCTTTCACGATTCTATATTGATTTTTGAGTAATTTTCTTCCTTAATCTTTCTTTTCAAACAAATCAGAGGTGTACTTTAATTAAGTTATAGAATAAATACTTTTCCAGGTCATGATTGTCTGAAAATATAATTAAATTGCAAATGATATCAATAGTGCAAATTGAAACATTCACATATATTTTGATTTTAAATTATTAGTTCCAACAATATAATGTCTTTTTTAACCTTTATATTGCTTTGAAAAATTATAACTCAACATCGGGTTTTTAGAATTGTGATCCATACATGGTACGAGTAGGTCTGATCGGGTCATAATCTTTGTATATATCTACTTATCTAAATTAATCAACTAGTTTTGAAACGTGTGATGCGCGAGAGAAAATGCACAATTGTTTTGAAATGCTTATGGTAGTGTAGTTGAATTGTTTGAAACTGCATGCAATATCATTTGGCAAATGTGGTAAGAATTGCTTCCATAACAAAACATGTGAATATACAATCAATATTGTGTAAAAACATATTTAAAAAAAATAGTGAATTGTATAGTTAGGTTGACAGTTAGTGTATACGGAGTAATATGTTTGTATATATTTTTAAATGAGTGAGTACAGGTGATAATGAAGCCTTGGTTTTTCAATTGTCTAAAACCAACTTAATTCTTTCTTGAATGTGGTTAGAAAATTATTAACTTCATTCAAGCATCTACCAAGTGTTATCTAAAAACCATTTGATATTGCATAAAATTTTAGTTTCAAGAGCTGCGTTGTAATTTCATGTAAATATAAATGCTAACATGAATCAAGAAGTCAAAGAAAATCAAATAGACATCATATTCATTCTCCATAAAGGTCTCTAGAGCAACATATTGCAAATCACTTGGACTTTAGGCGACAATGGATCCAAACCAATAGTAAAAATATGGTAGTCCCATTTTTGAATTTTCAAACCTTTTTACTCAAGAATTTTTCCCTAAGTTTTAATGACTTTGGTATCCATACTTCTAAGTTCTAAGATTACATTTACTAAATACCTACAAACTAATTTATTATTTATGCATCATATATGCATCATTTCAAACACAACCATGCAATGGAACTTATACCCAGAAGTGAAATTTCCCTTTCGTCAATTCCATGTCTTTTTCAAGTAAAGAAATACGGAGTAATAGTACTAATAAACCATAGTCCCTTTAAAACGAGTGATGTAGTAAACATATCTAGTTCATTTTCGTGTTGAAAAAATTGTTGTCACTTGACAGTAGTCTATATTCTATAACATCTTTTTAAAAATTCTAAAAATAGAGGTTATTTATCTAATTTTTGGAATTGGCATTCTAAAAAAACTGGACCACAAACCAAAGCTAAGAGTTAAGTAACCCTTATAATGACCAGAGGAACTGATCGACTTAGTTGTAAGCATCTTACAGAAGTTACGTTGCCTACCTAATAGTGGGTTTAAGCCTAAGGGTGAGTAGTGGTGGACTCGGGCAGGGTGGCCCGACCCGGAACCGGATCCGGCCTTGTACTGTTAGGCCCGGCCCAACCCGGTGGCCCGGCCAAGGACTAGTCCGGGTAGGCCCGGCCCGAGGGGTTTTCCGGTGCGGGCTCGGGTCAGGAAAATAAGGAACCGGCCCGGTTCGGGCCATATATTTTTTTCCAATGTTTTTTTGAATTCCCGGGTCGGGCTGGGTATTTTGAGCCATTTGGGGTGGTTTGGGGGGTTGGGTGAGAGAGGGGGGGGGGGGGGGTCAGGGTTTAAGTGGGAAAAAAATGAATTTGGCCCGAGGCCCGACCCGGGGGTTACCCGGGCCGGTTCCGGGCCTACCTCCCAACTTCTAAAGCCCGACCGGGCCTAGGCCCGACCCGGGTCCATCACTAAGGGTGGGTGATGAAGGTGGTTTTAAGGTGGAAGGAGTATGTGATATTGATAGCAAAGTAATTGTAAATAGTGGTGGATCGGTTCCGGGCCGACCGGCCCGTGGCCCGACCCAGCATTGTTTGGAACCGGTCCGGTCCGGTGGCCCGACCAGAGACCGGTCCGAGTAGGCCCGGCCCGAGGGTTACACAGGGCGGGCTCAAGTCACCCAAAATAGGAACCGGCCCAGCCGAGCCCGGTTCGGGTCTTTTTTTTGTTTTTCAATTTTTTTTTTGTTTTTCCCGGGATCGGTTGGGTGTTTGGGGGGGTGGGGGGTGGGGGGGTAATTAGAAAAGCAAAAAAAAAGGAAGAAACCCGGGGACCGTCCTGGACCCGGTGGAAACCCGGGCCCAAAGCCAAACCCAAAAGGTCCGCCCAGGACCGGACCGGGACCGGTAGGGGTAGGGTTGTAAACGAATCGAATCGAGTCGAATAATGATATTTTGTATTTGTATTTGTTTAGTTTTTTCGAATACGAATTCGAATTCAAATATGAAACGAATAGTAATTTCGATTTGTATTTGTTTAACAATAGGAATACTTAACGAATCATATACGAATATCGAATCGATTTGAGCATATGTTAAATGTTAGTGAAATATCACTTCAAAATAAATTTTCTTATACTCCATATTGCTTATGTTGTAAATGCATGATATGGCTTAATATGTGTTTTTAGAATTTAAATTTAATAGATTATTGGGAAAGTTCCTGAAATGGGACCAAAAACGTTTGTAAATTCCAAAATAGGACTATCATGTTTTTATTCCCAAAATAGGAGTAATTACTGTCAAGTTTGGAAAATACTGCCATGTTTAAAGTCTGGTATTGCCAAAACATGACAGTAATAAGTCCCATTTTGGAAATTAAAAACATGGCAATCCCATTTTGGAATTTACAAACGTTTTTAGTCATATTTAGGGTAAATTCTCTAGATTATTGCATTTTTGATGGTGCACAATATATATACTAAAGTGAATTAATTTTATGATTAATAAATATAAATCTATTTCAAACTTTTTAAAATAAACACTAACACACACGTATTAGAAATTATACTTATAATGTGTGATAAAGTTGATAATTGTATATACCAAAGTCAAACAACTCTAACTTTATTCTTTAAATCCAATACATAATTATTTGTATTGTATTTGAAAGGCATTTGAACCCAAAAAAATGATTTGTATTCGTATTTATATTCTGGCTTATTAAATGGGCTTGGAGTATATATGGGCTACACTTTGAGAGTATTGCTATCTTTTAAAAGTTATTGTAGTGTTATTACTATACCACTATTAATATTAATATTAATATTAATCGAATATATTAATACATTGATATTAATATTACCATTACTATTAATCAAATATATTTGATTAATATTCGAATTGAATACACTAATATTCTTATTTGTATTTGATAACAACTCGAATCAAATTTAATATTCGTATTTGAATTTGTATTTGAATTTTCCGAATTCGAATCGTCTCATACGAATTTGAATCGCGAATCAAGCACAAATTATTTGATTCGTTTACAACCCTAGGAACCGGTCCATGTCTAATTGTAAAAGTAGAACTGTAGAAGTGTAGATAAGGTTTTAGAATGGCTGGGGTAGGGAAGAGCTTTTCTGAGATGAGAATATCTGAATTGGAATATGCTTTATGTTCATCAGCAAACTGAATTACTCTCAAATGAAAAATAAATGTCAGCGTACACTTAAGCAGTTAAGCGGAAACGATGGGCACCTCCAATTCTCCAAATACTAAGATGAAGGTGGATTGGTGTTGTGTAACTGATGAGCACACTATGAAGGGAAACGAATCCTTGGTTTTTGCTATATTAAAACCATATTCATCCAACATGTTGTGATGTGCAATCATTATGTCTTTCTAAAGTTATCTAACATGATCGAGAAAATCAAATATAGTGCAACACATGAGTGATATAACTAGTGTTCTTGAATGCTCGTAAAACGAATTGGTTCTATCTCATGGGGCTCTAGTTCTGCTTAAATTGGGGGTGGGAACCAGCACCAAACCGTGATATAGAAGGCTTCACCTCGAATTCTATCAAATGGAAGACCGGGACATAAACTCTCATGAAAGTATTAGTGTAGTAGTAATCTAAACCACTATCAGAATCAAAACTTAAACCACCTTTAAAATCTAAAGAATGATTGCTTGTCGATTTCGATTAAGGTTCTAATTTTCAGGGACTAAAACCATGGTCCACCCCTAACCCCAGATGCCAGTATGCCACTTCACTGCCGGCCCCATTGATCTCGGGTGGGTATAGGGGAAGAGTGGGAGACCACAATACCACCATCCCATTTGCATAATGTCGAGTTCCTCACTTTCAGGAACACAGTTGGTTGTGAGGGGTTGTATTCTTTACTCTTTAGACTACAGCTTTTGCATGCTTAATATAAGAAAGTATATATTATAAGATAATATAACATAGACCATGCTCTTAATCCAAAAATAAAAAAAAACATACACCATGCTCTCAACGAGAACAATTTTATAGGGACTGGAGTATTATGTTTTGTAACTAAAAGAGTTGAAAATTACATAGAATATTCAGACTACGGAAGGAGATAGGTAACTCATTCTTATCGAAAGATGAGTTTGAGACAAAGCATCCACGTGGTGGTGGTTACTGCAGCTCCTTCAGAAAATCTTCATTGTCAACCAGAACCTAATTAACAAAATACCGCCGGTTTAACAGTAATTGATGATGCTTAACCAATTTTTTTACATATGACCTTAGCCTGCATTTTGCATAGCCATGCATGCAGACGGAGGTTCATTATTTAGCTGCCTCCACAGGTAGAGAGATAAGTGTATACAGGTTCTATCTCGTATGTAAGTGTTTGCATCATGCATAGTATAATTAGGGTTTCGGGTTTCCAACTGTTTTGACCGTATGTTTGATGGAGGGGTTAGGAGGGGGAAGGCTATACCATCACTGATCGCTTATCACGTTTCGTAAAATGAATGAAAGGTGAATGGAATGTTTTAAAGGAAACTGTCAAATAGGCCCTGGTAGTATAGCAAAAATGGCAATTAAGTCCTCGTACTATATAAACACCTAATCATACCCCCCAAACTTTCAAAGAACACCCAATAAAAAAGAGGTTTAACCGGTCAGCAATCTGTTAGCATGTGAAGAGCTTGTGTGGCTGTCTGCCTGTCTATGTGGCATTATTTTATTTCTTTTCTTGGTCAACCTATCAATCTTAGCCTGAGTGAGCAATATTTTATTTTTTATTTCATTTTTTTGTCATTAACCTTCGGTGTTTTTTCCAAGGCTTCAGTAAATCTTCTTGTAAAAAGGACTCACCAATGAAGACGAGCTCAAAGGATGAAGCTCTGCCATGGCAGCGGCAGCAGTGGCAGTGGCTTGGACGTTGCCGGGGAAAGCAGAAGCTGGGCGCAGGAGGGAGGCGACGAGATGCGGGAAGTTGGGCAGATGGAAACACTGAGCTATTCAATAAATCTGGAATAAATTGCTTTGGGTTCTACATGGAAACGCACGGCCATTAGGTTGAGGTGGACACCTACGTGGAGAGTATCAACGGAATCAACAGTGGCGATTTGCTTTTTGGCTTTAAAACCGGGGATGGCGACTATGATGAGGATTATCACTACAAATAGAACAATAGCTCGGACAATCAAACACACAAGTATCCTCTTTCTCACGTTGGACTTACTCCGGACAGTGCCACTGTGCCGGTGGACACAGATTCTTCAATCTCCATTAATGACGGATGGACTTCAACCAAATAGGATTCCAGGTCAAGAGAACAAGAGATCTCCAAGGATTATAAGTTTAATGAAGCTTCCATCTATCTTGTATGATTCTTTGTATATTACTCTCTGGTTGCAAGTAGAACAGGAAATGGTTTCCCAGCAACAAAAATAAAGCCACGTGTGCAGCTATGTCAATAATTGGGTGTTTAAATGGTACAAAAGTTTAATTGCTGTTTTTAGTTTTTTACTATACTATGAGGGCCTATTTGATAGTTTTCCCATATACGAACACATAATGTGCTAACCTTTCACTTTTTATAAAATCTCAAATGATATCAAGATATGCCATATTAGCCTTCCAAAGCTTTCACCCACAAAACCCCTCCATCCAAAGAAAATCTAAGAATATAGTAAGGAAACTTACTGTCTTCCATCCATCAGGGTCGACGAAAGAAGTGATTTTGGTTTTGATCCCTGGAATGGGACCAGCTTGTCGAGTGATTTTCCCGCCAAGCTCTTGGGTCACAAGGTTAACAACCTCTGCGCTTTTGTATACATCATCGGTGCCAATGGCAACCTAGATAGAGCATGAAATTTGTAGTAAGCCACACAAATAACAAGTAGTACTAAAAAAACCAATTAGGGAAACGAACCTGACAAGGTCATGTTCCTTTATTTGCAAGTTGACTTTACAATATTGATCTTACAATGGAACATGATTATATCACAACTATTATCCCGAAAAACAGTTATATTTGACCGATGTACAACTTTTACATTTTTAAGGTACACCTGACACAAATCATGAATCATAATCAAGTTTTTTATATTTATTCGTTGGCTTGACTAAATTACCATACCTAACTTGTTTGTGACTTTTTTGGCACATTACATTACAAATCTTTTGGGACTAAGGCTTGGATGTTGTTACTACATAACAAAGGAGCTTAATTTTATCAGACCTGACTCTATTTTGGAGATGGAGATGTGGTGACACAATAATTTTTGGGGGGTGGGGGGGTCAAGTTTCAACTTACCAACCGACTTCTCTAATAATTTTCATAAAATGGATATATTCATGATAATGCTTCAAATTTCATCTCACTAGTCCTTTGGGAGAAGATTGAGACAGAAAGAACATTTGGCGTAAACACACCTTTATGTTTTTTACTTGACTAGAGTAGAGAAGAACACTAATAAGGCCAACTTCATTAATGAACATTAAAGATGACGATGAAGAAGTGAAACGAACCTGTGCATAGGCATTTCCTTTGGTGTATTCAGTAACGCCGTAATTGTACGTCAATTCTAGAACTGTAGTCTCATATTCCGGAGCATATCCCATCATTGCTATGGTATACTGTGTAGTAGTTCAAACCATAGATAACATCATAATGATACTCATATGTTAGTACACACAATTCACTTATGGATGAGGAAAACTAACTTAGTTACCTTCTGTTCTGGCCTGTCTGTTTTCTTCAGAAGTTGCATTCCTAATGCCTGCACGGGAAAACCACATAAATTTGCATTCACTGTGTACATTTTAAGAGCAGGTATTGTTTCAAAGATGAGCTAGCTCAACTACTACACAGATACAGGTTAGAACACACACGTGAACAGATAAATTCTCAAATCTCTTAGGGTCTATTTGATCAAGGAATACTAGGGAAAGAAGACACGAAGAAGCACATTTTGGAAAATTGGAAGGAAAGAATGAGGGGAAAATAAAAGATAGACCAACGATGAATATGTTCATCTTAGCTACTACTTGATCCACATTTTTTAATAGGAAAAGGTACATATATACCCCTATAGTATAGGTGCAGGAACAAATATACCCTTGTTCTATTTTTCGAAACAAATATACCCTTGAACTTTGAAAAAGGTGCAAAAATATCCCTCATGTTCTTATAAATTAGCAAATTAATTCTTATTGACTTTAAATTAATAGAATTAATTTCAAAAAACACCAATAAATTAAAAATTCAAAATTAAAATATAAAAAAATTTAAAAATGTAATTGTGTCCAATTCTCCCTTTTCGTTTTTGTATCACAATTAAATATTTTTAGTATATAAATTCAGTATTTTGGAATTTTTGGGCTATTTATCATCATACAAAATATGTAATTTTAGAGTGCAAAAAATGCAAAAATAATTTTTTTACATTGCAACACATATGTTAGCACATTTTCGAAAGAATCTTAAATATATAGTAAATTTTTGAAATAATATTTTATACTAAAAATATTTAATTTTTTAATTTTTTTATATTTTAATTTCGAATTTTTTGGTGTTTTTCGAAATTTATTTTGTTACTTTAAAGTTAATAAGGATTAATTTGCTCCTTTATAAAAACATGAGGGATATTTTTGCACCTTTTTCAAAGTCCAGGGGTATATTTGTTCCGAAAAATAGAACATGAGTATATTTGTTCCTGCACCTATACTATAGGGGTATATATGTACTTTTTCCCTTTTTTAATATCAACTATATACATATCAAGATGTCTAGTCCAGAACCCTTACTTCCTCTCACATCAGTTGTCAATAAAACAATGTCCACATACATAACACACATTTTTTCTTCCTTCAGCCCATTGATGAAGATCTTGTTCAACATTTCCCTGTCAGTGTTGCGCATTGGAGCGACCACCAACTCGCAGCTCTCTCGGCGTTCCATGAGCTTGAACAGATTGGGTTCCAAGTCTGACTTGATGAAAATGTACTGGAAGGAAACATTACGAGTGAGAAATCAAGCAATTGCGCAAGCTTGAGGTACCACGGCAACCGATGCTTGCTCCTTGTGTTCATTGTCACACCATCGGTAAAATTATCTTCAGAGGAAGGTTGTTGCAGACTCCTGATGGAACGATAGAGTTTGCGACAGTGAGAAGCGGTTTGCGATGAAATCGGCGAACTGGAATAATCGGCTAGCGACGCCGCCTGCGAACTGGTAAGATCTGCTCACGATGAGGATGACCCCGGCTTTCAGACTGTTGACGACGTCTATCGTCCTCCTCATCCTCTAGATCGCCAATGATTTTGGTCCATCAGCCAGTTATGTAGTTCGACCATCCTCGATTGTGTCTCAGCAATCGTCTCAACCATCATCGATCGTGTCTCAGCAATCGTCTCAACCATCATCGATCGTGTCTCAGCAATCGTCCGTTTCAAATGTTTCAATCAATTCTCCATCTGCTCTTTGGAATTATCACCCAATGGTTTTTTGAGACTCTCGTTCCTCGAGGATCGAGTGCTTTGATACCAAAGTTAGGAACTAGACAGTTTATGTATATCAAGTAGGAAGTCAAATACAATGGTGAAAATCATTATCCAGCATACAAAGAAAGCTGTAACCAGCATAATAAGGAAGAAGAAGCAACTAGAGACCATTTTTCAGAGTGCCTCTCTCTCCCAAGCCCAAGCCTAACAGAGTTTTTCCCAACTCTTATTCCTCACAATTTATATACTGCTATTATTATAAATTAGCACTTTTCTGCCCAGGTCCCTATAATTCATCAAATAAAACAATTTTCCAAGAAATTATTAATAAATAAACAAATTACCTTTTCATAGAACTTGATAGAACGTTCCAGGTCACCCACACGGAGCATTACTTGACAGAGTGGTTCTGGAGTAGAGCCTCGCTGAATAAGCTCAAAGAGGTAGCCATCAGGATCTTTCGCGAAAGCAATAACAGTCGATCCACCTTTGACAGGTCCGGGTTCACGAGTTATGGTTCCACCCTTTGCCTTGATGTCTTCAACCAATTTATAAACCTTAAAATAAAAATCATACATTAGAAAAAAGATTCATATGAGAAAAATAGTCCCCCCCCCCCTAAACTTTAGAAAATAAGCACTTACATCTTCTGTTGCAATAGCAAAGTGTCCAAAGCCTGTTCCAATGTCATACTTGTCGACTCCATAATCTGATAAATAGTTGATGAAACTATTAAATTTTACAATTTTGAGCACCCTACACATTTTGATATAATTAAAAGAGTGTGTGATCATAGTTATGTTGAGATCTATCCTCTCAGGTAGGTTGGGACTTCGGACATGTAACATTGGCTTTGAGAGCATTCCCGCCAAACCATTTTACTCTCAAGTTTGCAAAAATCATATCATGCAATTACAGTATAACTGCCCAACTCGTAATTCCTCATTGTTTACAAGTTCCAAATTAGGTACGAAGTAGGAGTGGTGATAGATGGCTTTTTTTTAAGATGGCTTTTGTAAAGATGATTGAGGCGCTCAGTAGCAGGCTTATTTTCCTTGTGTATGAAATAAACCGAATAAGAAGCTTTTTGATAGGATTCGGGCCTAATAGACTAATAATAATAATAATAATAATAATAATAATAATAATAATAATAATAATAATAATAATAATAATAATAATAATAATAATAATAATAATAATAATAATAATAATAATAATAATAAGTGTACCAGATTAGTATAAATAGAATAAGCTGGGAGAGGTCAAGTAGGCTGTTTAGACTTTTGTCTTGGACTGGGAAGTTAAAGACTAATCCTCTCTCTTTAGGGGCTTCGGCCATTGTTTCTTGTTCTTCATCAATAACGTGTGCAGTAGTTTCTTGATATAATTTCTGTAATTTTCAATATTCCTGGATTGATCTATCAGTGGTATCAGAGCACGTAGATTCTATGGATGGTCTGGACGCGGACGAAGACGGATTTGCGGATGAATGAGTTGGAAAATAACCAAAACCGACTGGATGAGAAGGTAGATAGGAATCAGCAACAAACGACGGATAAGTTGACAGCGATTCTCATCAGATTGGATGCGAGAGATCAAGGTCGTTCGCGAAGTAGATCGCATGCCTCCTCCGCATCGCATTGAACTTCGCACCATCATCATTCTACGAGTCATCCAGTGAGTCCAGATGAATCGGAAGGGGATTCCGATTACTCAGCTACTCATCACCATCGCAAGCGGGAACACGGAAATCATCATCGCACATCTCATCATCATTCTATGAGACATTCAGCGAGTCTAGATGAATCGGAAGGGGATTCCGATTACTCATCTACTCATCGACATCACCATTGCAAGCGGGAACACGGAAATCATCATCGGACCGGAAGAAAGGTAGATTTACCTTTATTCAATGGTGATTATACTTATGGCTGGCTGCTCAGGATCGATCGATACTTCCGACTAAATAATATAGAAGAAGAAGAAGAAGAAGATAAAATTGAAGTGGAGGTGGTAGCTATGGAGGATAAGGCTCTCAGCTGGTTTCAATGGTGGGAGAAACAAGCTCGGGAAAGAACCTAGGAAAGGTTGAAGAAGGCTCTAACTAGGCGTTTCCAACCGGAGATGGTTCAGAATTCCTTGGATACCTTACTGAATCTGAAACAGAAGAATACGATTAAGGAGTACAGGGAGCAATTTGAAATGGACATTGCTTGATTTGTTTCTCAAGAAAATCTGGACAGAAAGGTAATGAAGGGCATCTTTCTGAATGGGCTGAAGAAAGACATAAGAGCTGAACTAAAACTGTATAAAACTAAAGACCTGGCTGAGATCATGGACACTGCTTTGTTGATTGAAAACAAAAACTATGAAAAAATGTCCAGGAGGCATAAGGAAGAAGGGAAGAAGAGTTGGAAGAGTAATCTGACAGGGGGACACAATTATAACAAATGGGGAGATGGCAGTAGAGGAAATTTTAATCCTACAACTAAGAATCGGTCTGAGAAGAATTCAGTTGATGACAATAAGGTGGAGGAATCAGCTAACTCGGTTCAAAAGAAGATAAGTCCCAAATTAACACAAAATGAATTGCATGAGATGAGTAGGAAAGGGTAATGTTTCAAATGTGGGGAAAATTGGAACCGAGATCATATTTGCAAAATGAAGCACTACAAATTTGTTCTTATGGAGGATTCTGAAGGAGAAGAAGAGTCTGAATCTGGCACGAAGGATACAAACTTACAAAGGAGGAAGAGGGAAATGAAATGGAATTCAAAACTATGCAATTGTACTCAAGGAGTAAGGAAGAGATTCCAAGCATTCAAACCTTCAAGATGAAAGGAGTATTGAAGTGGGAGTATGGAGAACAGAAGGTTGAAGTTCTATTGATAATGGTGCAACCCATAACTTCATTTCTCAAGAGTTAGTGAGAAAATTGGAGTTACCATACCATACGATAGATGGATATTCTGTGCAGATAGGTAATGGAAATCAAATAACAAACTATGGCAGATGTGAAGGGTTGAAATTGAAACTACAGGGACTGAAAATACAGCAACCTTTCTATATTCTAGAATGGGGAGGAACAGATACGGTGTTGGGCATGGAATGGCTGATAAGCGTAGGAGATACGGAGATTAACTTCCAAAATCAGACCATCAAATGGGAGGTACATGGGCGAGAGGTAATTATACAAGGAGATCCTTCATTAAGTCAACTGGGAACTTATAAGGAGATGAAGAGACTGGTAAATAAGAATGGAGAAGGAAAATTGCTGAACTATCATGGGTTATCTACTGATATTGAAGAAGAAAGTGTTCAAAAGCAAGAAGTTGTTGTCCTCTGTGTTGTAGCAGGCTATGCAGAATCTGAAGGAATCAAATTTCTGGATAAAATGTTCTGGCATCTGTGTAACTTTGCTGTGAAATACATATGGAAGAAGATGGAAGTAGCAAAGCTAAAGGTCTAGCAATCAATCAAGTATTGGAAAGGGAGGGGTGCTAGGATGAAGGAAAAGAAGAAGATTTTGGTTGTTTCCTATCACCCACCTTGAGGGCAAGGTGGATGTTTAGGGGGAGTATTGATAGGAGTCGGGCCTAATAGACTAATAATAATGATATAAGTGTACCAGATTAGTATAAATAGAATAAGCTGGGAGAGGTCAAGTAGGTTGTTTAGACTTTTGTCTTGGACTGGGAAGTTAGAGACTAATCCTCTCTCTCTTTGGGGGCTTCGGCCATTGTTTCTTGTTCTTCATCAATAAAGTGTGCATTAGTTTCTTGATATAATTTCTGTAATTTTCAATATTCCTGGATTGATCTATCACTTTTGACTTACTAAAGGAGCATTTGCAACAACTTTAATAAAGCACTTTTCATCTTTTACTTAAAAAAGATGAAATTAGTTTTTTAAAGGGATAAGGGTCAGATAGGGCCTCGAACTTGGAAAAAAATGTCAAATAAGGCCATATTTAGGATGCTATGTCCGGCTGACGTCATTTGGGGCGGTTCCCGCTGGAATTTTTTGAGAATCTTATTCATTAAGTCTAGTTTACTCATATCAAATTTGAACTAAAAATTCAATCGGGAAGGCATTCAAATGAATTCTTGAAGATAACTGCGCTTTTAACTGCACAGTTATTTTCAAGAATTCATTTGAATGCCTTCCCGATTGAAGTTTTAGTTCAAATTTGATATGAGTAAAATAGACTTAATGAATAAGATTCTCAAAAAATTTCATCAAAAAATTCTACCGGGAACTGCCCCAAATGGCATCGGCCGGACAGAGCATCCTAAATATGGCCTTATTTGACATTTTTTTTCAAGTTCGAGGCCCTATCTGACCCTTATCCCTTTTTTAAATTATCTACTTCTAATTCAATTAAGCACTTAAAAGCTAGAAGTTGGAGTTGGTGTAGGGGTGCTTCTAACTGTTTCTTGGTTCTGTAAATAATTCAAACTTTAGGGATAACTATAATGGTAAATTTATTTAGTTTACACCAAAAGCACCCCCATGGCCCCATCTCTGTGTCAATACCCTCCCGCGTCAGACCTCTCTTGTGTCTGTCCTTTCTACCTTGTCCTTCCACACACATATAATACACACACATGTGTGTGTGAACACGGAAGGAATACAAGGATGGTGACGCCTGCTGCCAGCGTGAACGACACCACCCACCGCCGCCACATGATGATGCACATACGGCTTTCAAATTGCACTCACTACATAGTGATGTTTGCCGTGATGTCTTTCATCGGCATCATATTTCTAGCGGCCATTGCAGGGGACACGCTCAGGGTTTTCCGAGATGGCGCCTTCTGCCTTCAAAGCTGCGATTTTCGAGACCGGAATTTCAGTTGGATTAGACGATGTAATTGCAGGAGAGATGTAGCCACATCTCCCAGCTTCGAAAGACCAGATTGGCATTAAAGCTTGCCCTATATAGATGCTCAAAAATGGTTTGTGACTTTGTGCAAGGGCATTTTTGTAGTTTAACAAAATATTACATAAAAAATAACTTTTTTGCCAAGCAGTCCGACTTAACTTTTTCAATTTTATCACTTCTATTCTAAAGCACTGCCAACTTGTGCTTTTAAGCACTTTCTCTAATCACTTCAAAAAAATCACTTTTTGAAAACGGAAGTAATCACAAACACTCCCTTATTTGGTTAAAACAGAAGTTACTAGAGACTTCCTTTCCAAAACTTCAGCAGATAGCCATTTCAGCCAAATAACACTAACAAATGGGCCTTAAGTTTGTGATGAAAGTATGAAACTTATGAGGTTGAACAGTGTCCTGACATCAGTAAGCGCAAACAAACAATAAAATCACATTCGTCTGGAAACAAAAGCCAAAACGTACTGTATGTCAGTTCCACGACAAAGTGAGACTCTTCAGGGCCAAAACCAAGAAAAGCATTTGCATATTTCTCCTCTGGGACATCTCTCTTCCTCAATAACTTCATACCAAAGCACTCCGTGTAAAACCTAATGACAGAATACAATTTCAATTAGCAACAAATAGTTAACAAGCTGATTTAGAAGCCATACCGTTTCCCTTTAAAATGCATACTTGATAGTGCGATCAAGGTCACCAACGCGATATACAACATGCAGCAACCTGCGCTTATCTTTCTTTGCCCACTCCAACAACTCATCACTTGGAACCACGGGTGCAGCAGCTTCAGCCATGTTAGTGATATTGAATCAATTCCACCCTATAATGAGTAATTGTTAATTATTAATACCATAGTGATAGATAAGATCATTCACAAAACTGTTTAAAGAGGTACGAGCATACAGAATTGCATATGTAAAAAGAAATCCAAACGGAACCACGCCAAAAGTTGTAAAAGTGAGTCGAGGGGCAACTCCTAACTCCATAAGAAAGAAACAGCCCTTTTTTATCAGAGAAAAAAACTATTACGGTCAATTAAATATCTATCATTTCTTCAACCACATAGCTAAGAGTCTAAGAAATCTTCCAAAATTTTGAAATGCTAGATGCTGCATCAACCGGAACTAAGGATTGATAGCACATTCTCGTTCAATTCTAAATGCTTGACTTGCGAATGGATGTAGAGAGAGAGAGGTACCAGAGAGAGAGACTGTTGGCGCTGATCAACAAGGAGCGAGGAACAGTTTAGATGAAGAGTACATATATTCGCAGCGAGTTAAGTTCAACGCTACGCAGGGATGCAAGCTTTGGAGTATGTGAGAAGATAAAGTCCGTTGGATGAGCGAGGACGGCATCGAATCGGACAGCGGATTTCACGCTTTGGTTATATTTACTAGTTTAACCTTGCATTTTGACAATCAGTTACCCTAGGCTTTTGATTATTCTCATTTCTCATTGGGGTTTGGTAGTTGGTACAACCATAGCTTCTTCCTAGTACTCGCCTTATACCCACCATATCTGTGATGAGTTTTTTGTCTGTGAATTTGATTCACAGACAAAATAATTTGCATAGGTATATTTTGTATGTAACCGATATTCACAAACAAAAAAACTCCTCCCAGACATAGTGAGTACAAAAGTGAGTATAAGAGTGGGTACAAACAGTTTTTGTTGGTACAATAGTCCAGAGAAAAGTACCAGAAGTAATAGATAATAGAGGTGGGTACAGTTCAAACACTTCGGTTTTCGAGCGCGTTTGGTAATAACTTGGAGCGTGTTTGGTAATAACTTAGAGGCCATTTGGCAACACTGTTTTTCAGCTTATCAGCCAACTTTTTCAACAAACACGTAATTTTGCTTTCGCGCACTGAATTGTGTAATAAGTAGAAAAAGTAAGATTGGAGTTACTTTTCTGGACGTATTGACTAGAGTTACCGTAGATGATCATTTTAGCTATTCTTACATATAATTTTTTCTTTATTTTATTTAGTAAAATATATTTTAAAAATATTTTTTCTTAAATTAGCAGAATCAACCAACGCAGCCACTTAAGCCAGAACTTCATAAATTTCAGCAGAATCAACCAAATCAGCCGATTTTCGTGCTACCAAACAGGCTCTTTGATTAATTTTCATAAAGTCCTTTTGATAGCACGAAAATCGGCTGATTTGACTGATCCTGCTGAAATTTATGAAGTTCTGACTGAAGTGGCTGCATTATTGGTTGGTTCTGCTAATTTAAGAAAAAATTATTTTTAAAATATATTTTATTAATAATATAGAGAAAAAATTATACGGAGTATGTAAAAGAAAGAATGGCAAGAATATTACTTGGACAGTTTAGATAGACAAAAATATGACCATTATTTCTCTGGACAAAAAAGTAACATGCACTTCGCCTCTCTCTTTTCCCCGTTCGTCTCTTTTCCCCGTTCGTCTCTTTTCCCCGCAGCATTCATGGACCTCATGAGCCGAGTATTTCATCAATACTTGGACCAATTCGTCATAGAGTTCATTGATGACATCTTGATATATTCCATGAATGAAGAAGAACACGAGAGACATCTAAGGTTTGTGCTTGAAACAGTGCAGGAGAAGCAACTCTTTGCCAAATTCTCTAAATGTGAATTTTGGCTTGGGGAGATCGGTTTTCTCGGGCATGTGGTATCGGGCTCGGGCATTTCAGTTGATAACTCGATATTGAAGCAATCACTAATTGGGAGATGCCCAGGAATGTGAAGGAAATAAGGAGTTTTCTTGGTTTAACGGAGTATTACAGCAAGTTCGTGGAGAAGTTATCAGTAATAACGTCTTCACTCATGAAGCTCGCTAAAATGGGGGCTAAGTTTGTGTGGGATGACAAGTGTGAGAAGGGGTTTCTTGAGCTAAAGAAACGGTTGACTGAAGCACCAGTACTTGCTCTAGCCAGGCAGGGGTTAGGGTATGACATTTATAGCGATGCTAGCATCCAGGGGCTTGGGTGTGTACTGATGCAATCGGGGGTAAGGTAATTGCTTATGCTTCTCGGCAGCTGAGGAAGCATGAAATAAATTACCCCACACATGACCTAGAGCTAGGAGCTGTGGTGTTTTCTTTGAAGATTTGGAGGCACTACCTCTACGGTGAATTGTGTCACATCTATACTGATCACAAGAGTTTGAAGTACGTGTTCACTCAGAGAGAGTTGAACATGAGGCAAAGAAGATGGATGGAGTTGATCAAGGATTACAACTTGATTGTTGATTATCATCCAGGTAAGGCTAATGTGGTAGCTCTTAGTAGGAAGAGTTCATCAGGGGTTTTACTCACGTGCTTACGAGTATTGAGGGCACACGTGGAGGTATCCACGAATGGGGCCTTATTGGCCAGATTTGAGGTGAGACCCACCTTATTAGACGCAAATCAGAATGTGTCAAGGCAATGACGAGGAATTTCAGGAAATCCGGGATCGGATGTTTGTGGGGCCCGTCGAGGGTTTCCGTGAGAGAGAAGATGGACTCTTACTATTCAAGGAACAGGTGTGTGTGCCATCGGATGAGGAGCTCCGTAAATCTATCCCTGAGGAGGCTCACTCATCCGCGTATGTCATGCACCCAGGCGGTACAAAGATGTATCGGGACTTGAAAGAAAATTACTGGTGGTCGGGGATGAAGAGAGAGATTGCAGAATACGTGAGCCGTTGTCTTACCTGTCAGCAGGTTAAGGCAGAGCACCAACACCCAGCGGGGTTACTACAGCCACTTACCATTCCAGAATGGAAGTGGGGGCATATTACTATGGATTTCGTGGTGGGTCTGCCACGGACGGTTAGGAACTATGACGCGGTATGGGTGGTAGTTGATAGGCTGACCAAGAGTGCTCATTTCATACCTATCAACACTACATATACGCTTGAGCGACTGGCCAAGTTGTACACTGACGAGATCGTGAGACTGCATGGGGTTCCAGTTATTATAGTATCGGATAGAGACCCACGGTTCACATCACGGTTTTGGCCTAAGTTCCAGGAATCTATGGGTACAAAGCTGAGGTTTAGCACAGCATTTCATCCTCAAACGGATGGACAGTCTGAACGGGTGATTCAGATTTTGGAGGACATGTTGAGGGCATGTGCCCTTGAGTTCCAAGGAATTCGCCTATTACAACAGTTATCAGGCAAGTATAGGCATGCCCCCATACGAGGCATTGTATGGGAGGAAATTTCAGACACCTTTGTGTTGGGATGGGGTAGGCGAGGTTAAGCTTGAGAGCATCGAGCTAGTTGAGATCACCAAGGAGAAGGTGAAGGTTATTCAGGATAGACTCAAGGCTGCCCAAGATCGGCAGAAGAGCTATGCAGATAAATGTCGGGGGACGTTGGAGTTTGAGGTCAGCGATGAGGTATTTCTGAGGGTGTCATCTTGGAAAGGGATCATCAGATTCCTCAGTCGGGGTAAGCTTAAGCCCATTCAAAATCATTGAAAGAATTGGGGTCGTAGCGTACCGACTTCAGTTAACTCCAGAGTTGGAAAAGATTCATAATGTGTTTCATGTTTTTATGCTCAAGAAGTATGTACGGGACCCGTCACATATTCTTGAGAAACCGCCAGTAGAAGTCTGAGAAGATCTACATTATGCAGTGCAACCGGTAAGGATCATAGACCGACAGGTAAAGAAGCTAAGAAGCAAGGAGGTACCGATGGTAAAAGTACTTTGGAAAAGTGATCGGGTCGAGAAGAAAACTTGGGAAGTGGTGACCCTGATAAGGGAACAATATTCATTTAACAATATTCATTTTTGTTTGACAAGACACGTGGATTTCGGGGACGAAATCCCAAATAAGGAGGGTAGAACTTGTAACACCGCCCCCAAGTATTTGTACTTTATCAAATTATGTATTGAACCATGAGAAATGAATAAACGCATTTTACGTGATTGTAAATTTTTATCATTTCTTTTGCGTGAATAGTAAAATTCACGTGGGGCCGACACCAGAGGTGGGGGCACCCGATATCCTCGGGACCACATATTATATTCATCTGGGTCTAGATAATATTTACATGATGGTGGATATCCATTTTGGGCTATAGAAACTATGTGAGTTGGCCAATTGTGCTTATAAGGTCCATCTATCGGTATCGGAGTACTGACAGATAAAGACCATAATAAATTATGGAGAGTGGAGACCACTAAATTAAAAGTTGAGGAATATATATAATCATTCTAATAGCCAATAATATGTAATGATCACTGTAATGATCACCGTAATAGTTGGAGTGGTAGTTAGAGAAAGAACAGATTTAGAAAGGAAGAGAGAGAATAGATAGGAAGAAGATTGTAGATAATACTTTTCTGCCTTTTCTCATCAATTTTCCCTCATTTAATAAAGTGTGCTATTACAAACAAGCCCAAATAACAAGTATAATAAAATAGTATATTTATGTATTTCGACCCAATCAAATATGCTCTGGCCCATTTAATTAAATTTTCCCGCTTCAGCAATTTCCTCTGCTACTTCTGAATTAATCTGTCCCCTCCTTGACCGGCCAAGTTAGCATTCTTACCTTCTTGACCAACCCGTCTCTTCCCATTCTTAACAATACCCTTCCCTTTTTTGAGATCATTGTCCTCAAGGATACCAGATACATGTGAATCGGTCATCACACTGAGGATACCGTCTTCGTTCACAGAAGGCAGGGATGGAGAAATCACTGCTCTTGGGCTGATGCAACCTTTCAGGAGAGAAACATGGAAAACGGGGTGAATCTTTGATCCTTCTGGCAAATCCAAACAGTAGGGTACCTTGCCGATGCGCTCCAAAATGGTAAATGGCCCATAGTAGCGAGCTGCTAACTTCTGATTCTTCCTTTGTTGTATAGATTGTTGGCAGTATGGCTGCAATTTAAGGTATACCTTATCTCCCTCTTTAAATTCTCTGTCTATCCTGTGAGAGTCAGCATAATGTCTCATCCGTTCTTGTGCGAGTCTGAGATTCTCCTTTAATTCTTGCTTCATTCTCTGCCTCTGGTCATTGAGTTCTCTTGCCTCTGAGTTAGTGAAGGTTGGTGGAGTTGGTAGTGATAAGGTTGGGGGAGAATATAATAGTCGTACAGAGCCTCAAAAGGGGTAGTCTTGAGACTGGTGTGATAATTCGTATTATACCAATACTCTGCCATAGATAGCCAATAACCCACTGCTTTGGATGTTGATGAGTCATAGCTCTCAGATAAGTCTCCACACACTGATTTAATCTTTCAGTCTGCCCATCGGTCTGAGGGCGATAGGCAGATGTGAAACTCAAGTGTGTCCCCATGAGTTTGAACAGTTCCTTCCAAAACCCACTGACAAAAACCACATCCCTGTCTGTTAATATGTCCATGGGTTGTCCATGTAATTTAAATATGTTGTCTAGGAACAATCTAGCTACTGTAGTGGCTGTATAGGGATGTGA